ATTGTGTGACATTCTTCTAAGATTCCCAAAAATGTAATGGCTACTATGGAAACCTAAAATGTACTTAAACCAAAGGTGAGACCTAGATCAGGGTAGACATCTTCTCTGGCTCCCGGTTAAAGACTGTCTGTCAGCTGGCTCAATAAAGCTTTGTTCATTCCTGTTCTTTTGTTTTTTATATTTATTTATTTATTTTTTGGTACCAGGAATTGAACTCAGGACCTTGCACTTGCCAGGCGTTCCTGCTCTTTTGGTCTCTCATGAATGCCATTCTCGGTGAACTTGCCATATCAGTAAGACATAGTTGACATCTTGCTATTTTCTTAGGAGGTTCTTGTGATGTTTCACCTGTTTGTTCACCAGTCTGCTCCAGAATTCTTTTGTGGAGTTCTTTGGGCAGATACATACTGTTCATTTGTTATAATTGGTCATTTATCAATGCCAGTCCTAATCCTCCATGAAAATTTCTCCGTGACATTTTGTATTTGGTATTGTCTCTGAAAACTATGAAAGTATTTATGTCTGACATGTTTAGGACTGAATAAAACACAAGCATTAGCAAATGCTGTGTGTTTTGAGTGACATCATAATTGCTACGTAGCTCATCAGCATCTACTCTACCTTTTGTTTTGTTGTAAAATGTGACCATATCTGTCTCCACTTGTGTTGAGGGTTCACTATCAGTCTTTCTTCTTTTTTGAGACAGGGTCTTGCTATGTAGTCCTGGCTAGCCTTGGACTCTCTATGTAAGACAGGTTGACTGTTAGCTCAGAAGATCCATCTACCTCAACCTCTCAAGTGCTGGGACTACAGACATGCACCACCACGCTCAGCACCAAGCTTATCATCATGGTGCAATGTTGGCAGTATCAGTATCGATACTATTTTGTTTTACTATACCATATGGGAGGACAATGTTGTCTTTTTGAAATCCAGAGATTGTACCATACATTTCTCTATTGTGAACTTGCAACATTTTTCAGGGATCTCTGCTTTATTCTTATGAATATTTCCTGTACTGATCTAGTGCTATTTTAGCAAATGCACATCAATGGGCAACTAGTGAACAAATTGTCAAATGTGACATTTGAGTTACTTTTTGAAATAGGTGCAACAAGTATGCTCACAATGTCATTCATTACTGCATGAATAAAGACCTGGTGGCTGAGTTCCAGGATAAATTCCTAAATTCAAGGTATAAAATGTCTTTACATCTATCAGAGCATATTTTTATAACATATCTGGAAGGTTTAATTGGCATATATTGCCCAAAGTGTTAACAACCATGAAATGATTCAAATGCAAATTCAAGTTGCTCATCAGTTTTCATGTATTCAGGTAGTGTATAAATTCCTTGACAGTTTGAAACAAACTTTCAAAAAATGAGTGAACAGCAGCAAAATTGTCAGATTTTTCTTTCTTGGCAGGTCTTTTTGTCATCAGAATGTGGGCAATCTTGAAGGAAACCAAATCTCTTGAATGTCATGGTTCTAAAAATCTCAATGCCACATCTGTCTGCATGAATCCTTTAGATTCTGATGATGAGAATGGTAAAATCCTACTATGAAGTCTTTTAATTCAGATAGTGAGGTATTGGGAGAAATATATTTCTGAGTATTACTATTGATGCGTATAGAGTGTTTTACTTGTATTTCATTATTAGTGTATCACAAAACATCTTGTAGTATATCTTCTGTTACAAACAATTTCCAACATTGAATTGCAGTTGGCATTCTGTCCAATAGGTTCTACACCTGGCAATAATAACTAATAACTTCTGACCTAATTCTAATGTTGGATTATTCAGATATACATGACTGTTCTGTAGCACTTTGATTAGTTAAATATTTATTTACAGGGGGCTAGGGATTTAGCTCAGCTGTACAGCACCTGCTTGGCAAGTTCGAGGTTGTGAGTTTGATTCCCGGTACCGGAAAACAAACAAACAAACAAAAATTATTGACATTACTGTTTTCTTCCCTATCTGAATCAAAGTCTTCATTCTATACTTCTCTATCTGTCTCACCATTGCAAATTTTTTGGCTTGCATGATCCAAGTCACCATTGGTAGCTGAATCACTTGATGACTCACTCTCAACCTTCTCCCAAAGTTATAAAAGTGGATTTTCATGTGACATTGTACTGAACTGGGCTAATTTTACAAGAAAAAAATAAAAATAAAATATTTAATAGAACAAATTATAAATACACAATAATGTAACATACATCTTGCCATTTGTCATTCCAAGTGGGTGAACGCAAAGATTGCTTCCTGTATTCCCCCAGCATAGCTAGAGATACACAGCTACTGTTATGCTAAAGTACATATTTTCATGAGAAGAATATGGTAGGTGTGTCTGTTACCCACTCATGATGTCCCCAGGCAAAGGGAGGGAAGATTTATTTTTGGTTCATGGTTTTAGCACTTTCCATCCATGGACACTTGGCCCTTTTGCTTCAGGCCTATGGTGAGGCAGACATCATGGCAGAGGAAATATGTTCAGCTCATGATGGCAAGAAGCAAAATGAGATAGAGAGGAAAAGTTCCATTATCTCAGCAGGGACATGCCCCCAATGACCTAACGTCCATCCACTAGGCCCCACCTCCTAGAGGAACCATCATTTCTTAATAGTTTGGGCTGGGGACCAAGGCCTTTGGGGAACATTTAAGATTCAAATCGTAAGAGTATCCTCCCTAAACTCACATATTAAAATTCTAAATTACAAGGTGAATAGTGTTAGGAGGTACATAGGCCCTGAAGACTGGCCCTCGTGAATGATTGGGATCCTCCATGAATGGGATTAGTACTGTTAGAACAGAGCCATGGGAGCTCACTTTCCCCTTTCACCTCTCGGGAATGCAGCCAGAGTGCACCACTATGAATGAGGAAATAGATCTTTATTAGACACCAAATCTACCAGTACCTTGGACTTTCCAACCTCCAGAATAGGGAAACACAAATGTCTGTTGTGTTAAGCCATCTAGTACTCAGAGATTTTTTTTTTTTTTCAGCAGCTGAAATCAGTTTCCCCTCACCCTCTTTTCTGGTTGTGAGAACATGTCTTTCAAATCTAGCGATAGGTACAACTTACTGGAATGACCATTTTACTGCCTTCCTTATCAGTGTAGTCCCACTTTTCCTGTTATGAAAGTAAAGAGAACCAATGATTTTTGTACAATAGAACAACTATGTTTACTGAGAATACATTTTATAGTAAGTCATATTACCCCCAACTTTTAAAAATACCAGTGCAATTTAAAATTTTTCCTTTTTTATGGGTTTATCTAGCAGATTACAAAAAATAAAACACATCTAAGTTAATGATGCCTCTCAGATACTTAAAACTGAAAAGCAGAGAGAGGTTTGCCCAATGCAACATTTAAAAAAAATTATTTGGAAATAATTTCAAACTCATAGAAAAGTTGCAAGAATCAGACTAGTTCAAAGAAAACATACACATCTTTTGCTCTTCTATTGTTCAATTTTACCCCACTTACTTTATCAATTATTCTCAGTACATTCAGAAACAAACATGTATTGTTCTGAAATACTTTGAGAGTAAATGGTGTACATTATGGCTGATTGCCTCAAACTATGCCAGTGTGTATTTTTCAAGATGAAGGATAGTCTTTTATGTAATCACAGTAAACTTTTAACCTAATCTCTCTACAATCTATTTTTCCAATTGACCCTATATTGTCTTTTGAAGCATTTACCTCACCTCTAGTAAAAGACTCAGTCTAGTCATTTACTGCATTTGGCTATCATGTGTTTTTAGTGTTATTTAATCTGGAACATTTCCACAGACATTCTTTACCTTGACATTGGAATTTTTGAAGAATTCAGTCAGTACCTCCCTCCTTTCTTTTAGTACAGCACTCCTCATTTGGCATTTGTCTAATGTTGCCTCATAATTAGAGTCAGGTATAGATTTTAGGCCAGAATACTATAAGCAATGTTACTTCCTTCTTAAAGCGTCACTTTGGAGGCACATGTAGTTCTTCCACCCCTTACTGGTGAGATTAAACTTGATAATCCAGAGAAGGGGTCGCTCAGTTTTTCCAGTGCATAGAGACTATATTTGCATAGAGACAATCTGAGGAGATATTTTAAGATCAAACAAATATCGTGCTGCTCATCAAAATTTCCCCTAGTTTACCATCCATTGATTATTTTTGCCTGAGCCAATATAGTTTCTGTGATGGTTGAAAAATGATGGCTTTCTGCTTCCTTTCAGAAAGATCTTGTTCCACATTTACCAGTTGGCAGTTGCATTCTGCTGTAAAGAACACATTTCCCTGTCTATTACCCATCATTTATCTGTTTGTCTATTAACTGGCATAGATTTGTGGGTCCCCATTTTTTCCTAGTGCTTTCTAATTTTCTCAATTATTTTGTACTCAAATTGTCCCAAGTTTGACCAATAAGAAGTTGTTCATGTTGGGGTAACATGCCTTTGAACATTTCTGTTTTTTCGAGTATAATGAGATACTTCAGGCTCCTCCTCTACCTACTCTGCCCTTGCTTTGGAATCAATCAGCCTTTCCTTTTAGTAGTAATGATATTAGACACCAAGATCTGAGTGCTAGATGTGCTCTTTTCTGCTATGCTTTGCTTCTAAGTTTTTTTGGTAGTCAGAACTAGGAAATATGTGCATGTGCAGACATATATACATATCCATAAATATGTGTAGGTATCAAACACAAATATGCATGTATAATTATACGTATTTACACATAGCATACAAGACATGACTTTAACATTGATTTCATTCTAGTCCTGTATGGCTCTTGTCTTCTTCCATTCCATGTTTAAACTACTTCCTTCTACACTGAACATTGTAGTTCCATCAAATCAACACATTTTCTCATTTACTCAGTTGTGTTATACAGTTCTGTTTTCACCTGGGTGCAGTGGTACCCTATTTTTGCCTATCAAAACTGTCAGCCCCAGTAATTGTGACTCAAAAGAAAGGAAGAAGTCCACAAAAGGTCTTGTTTAAGAATGTAACAGCTTTATTCATAGTGGCCAAAATTGGTAACAGCAGAATTGTTTAACAGAAAGGTTGATAGATAACTGACATATTCATATAATGGAATACTATTTGGCAATAAAAAGGAACAAACTGTGATTTCATGCAACAATATGGATGAACTTGAAAAACATTATGCTGAGTTCAAAAAGGTGAGCAGAAATAAATAGATAATGCATGATTCCATTAACATGGACAGGCAAATCTAACCTATGGTGACAGGATTAAATCACTACTCTGCTTGTTTTTGGGGAGTAAGATGGGGAGGCCACTGACTGGGGCAAGGCATGCAGGAGATTTCTGGAATACAGGAAATGTTTTGTGTCTCAGTCCTGAGTTATTTGGCAATGCATTCAACTCTGCTCTTAATATCTTTGTATTTCAGTGTTTGAATTATTTCTCAATTTAAAAAATAATTGGCTGGAGTAGAGTCTGCTCATTTCAACTGAGACTGAAATCCTCGGATTAAACCATCTCCTTCTCCTGAGCTGCTTCATTTCTAAGTCTCCTACCTAAAAACTCTCCTGGCTCCTGAAGATATTTGAGTGTGTTACACCCGATCAATACTTTCACTTCCTTTCACAGTCCTAATACTTTTTTATTATTATTCTTTTAAATAATCAGAGTATAGTATAGGTCAGAATTTCATGAATAATTAATAATGTTATCAGTTTAGGTCTGGCCCATGAATATGCTTTAAAATAGAGAAGACACTTATGAAAATTCAAAATGTTTAAATAGCAGTAAATTTTAGACTAATCCTTAGTTTAAGCCTTTGCCCATCTGATATGTGAATATGAAATCCAAAACAAACAAGCCAGCTTAGACCTAGTCAGATCTTGACAATGAAAACAATTGATTTTCAATATTAAATGATCAAATATTACTTCAGTGAGGAAATGATTTTCTCAAACCTTCTCATAGATTCTGGTGCAGATCACGCCCTTCATGATACATTCCTTAAAAGAGGGAGAGAGATTAATCGAGTAACTAAAACAAATCAGAAGCTAGAAAATTTATAATAAAAATGGAAATTCCAAATTCATAAAATTAAACTTAGGAACAAAATATCAGAATGCTAATCTCCAAGTAATTCAGAATTATGACAACCAAAATTGGAGAAAAGACTTTAAAATTGACATGTGTTTTTGTATAGGAATTTTAAAAAATGTGCCAAACTGCTCAAAAGATGAAGTAAAAATGACTAGTATGTACATGAAAGAGTGCTCAGCACAGTGCGGGGAGTGATCTTTGGTTATTAGAGAAGTGCAAATAAAAATAACAGTGACATTTCACTACCCCAGTAAGAATGGCTATCACCAAGCCCTCAAAGCAATACCTTTTGGTGAGGTTGTGGGGAAAAATAGAACCCTTCTACATTGTAGGAATTTACATTAGTATAATCACTGTAGAAATTAGTGTAGGGATGACTCAAAAAACTAAAAGTAGTGATTTCATTTAACCCAGCTATACCTCTTCTAGATATCTTCCCTAAAGAGTTAAAGTCATCATATTGCAGTGATACATGCATGCTCATGTTTATAGCACCACAATTCACAATAGCTAAATTATGGGAGAAGCCTAACACCCACCAAAGTGAATGAATAAGGAAAATTGGCTTGCAAAATGGAGCACTACTCAGCCATAAAGAAAGATAAATTTGAGGCTTTTGTAGGAAAATGGATGGATCCTGAGACCATAATGCTAAGTAAAATAAATCAGAAACAGAAGATTAAATAGCACATGGTTTCTGTAATGTAGGAGACCGAAAATATAAATAATTTAAAGAGCAAATAAAAGAGGTGGTAGAAAACAAGGAGATAGACTTTGTGGGGAGAGGAAGAAAATCTGATGAAATGGGGAGAGAAGGGCAGGGAGTGGGGGAAGGAGGACTAAAAATGACAAGCTGCATCATATATATCTACCAATTCCCTAGGATGAATGCAAAACGGTGTTTAAGTTTTGTTCATAATTTGTATGCATTTACATCTACAGAGTGGTTATCAAAACTATTTGTGCATTGCCGTTACTTAGGGAACATTTAAACACACAGATCCATACAGGGCTCTCTGTATGAGAACCTATTTCCCATGTAATTCTAGGGCAGCAAGGGCTAAAACCACTGTACTAAAGAAAAAAGCATTCCATGAGTTCATTTACATTCAATGTATATATTAATGAATAAGCACAGGGTCTTTACCTTAAAAAATTGTTAGTAGTCATCTCATATAATCTCTGTCATAATTCTTTTCTGAGAAGAGACCTCCAGGAAGAGATCTCTAAGATTCCTAAGATCTCAAAGAGATCTCTAAGAAAGAAGAGAGTTCTCACAGAAGCTCAGCTTGCACCATTGACGTGGTTTATTTTAGGTTATTATAGATTCTTGAGAACAAAGTATTTACACGTCTGCAAATAGCTGAGCCTTGCAAGGTATATTTTGCTTTTAAAATTTAGACTTGCTTTTGTCACAAATTCAAGCTAGTGAGATTTAGGCATGCTTTCTTTAACTTTAATCTTTTTGGTGTTGTTATTTCTAAAATAACCATGGATTTCCTATTTTAAAATCTTGCTTGTACTTGAAGATAAATATTTTATAGTTTAAATATCACTCAAGCATTAACTCTGACTTTATTCTCAGCCATTTTTATACATTTGTATTTCAAAGGGCATTTTTCAAATAAGAAAATCAATCTCTTTATATAGCATGATTTCTGAAGTTAGACTTGGAAACACTCTTACCACTACCATTTTTCCATCCACCAACTTTCTCTTTATTATTGTCTCTTTGCCATCCCATTTCTGCACTTGATTTAGGAGGCCTCTCTCCATGGTTACCACACTCTGGAAAGACAAATGCATACATGTGACCTACCTAGACTTTGGTTGGTCAAAGAAGGAAGCATTTCATTCAGTACTGAGCCATTTTTGTAACGGACTTCTTATGCAGCACATTCTTTTCCCACCCTTTTTAATGCTAGCAATACTTTCTCAAGCAATTGACGGGACCAACTTTACAGAGAAACATTAAAGATTACCTTAGTTTTCCTATTGTCAGCTGTGGTTTCTTCAAATTCCTGGCCCAGTTTGAAAGAGATCTCTGTGTTTTTAAAGGCACTTTCAGTTCGTATAGTTATATAGTCCCCTTTCTTGCTGATGATCACCGTAGGCTTGGCTAAATTTCCCAGTTTTCTGGTGGCTAACCCCACACCTGTAAACCAAGACAGTATTAGGATTGTGCCTCCCATGACAGCGTACCCGAAGCAGTATGGTGGCCACATAAGGTGTTCAGTGGTATCATAAGTGGGCAGGCGGCAGGTTGTCCTACTGACGACCAGGGGCCACCACCCACATTTCACTACACAAGGAAAGTGCATGTCTAGGACTTCACTACAGAAGCAATGTCTGAAGATTTTAGAAAGTAAAATTGTTCAATCGCAAGAGTGGAAGTTATCTACTTTTACAATATTCAATCCTATTCTCTGAAGTCAGTTGTCATCTATTTGTATGAAACATTAAAGATTCTTGAGTCTTTACCTACAAATTTTGTGGATACATATAGATATATATGTGGATTTTATATATACATGATTCTAAAGAGAATGTTGAAAAAGAACAATAGCAAAATACCAGCAATATAGACAGAAACAAAAAAAAAGCAAAAACAATAAAAATGATACACAGTTTCAGAACACAGTGATAGGAACTAACAGTTGTTGTTATGTTACGTATTATTATCTTCAAAGAAGTTGCTCAGATTACCAAATATAAGTTGTGGATATATTTTAATGAGACTATGACACATACTGTTGTCTGATATTTTCCCCTTCAGTAATACATTGTGAATATAAGTAATTTCCCTTGATAGAGTATCATTTCTCAAATTTTGTGATTCCATATCTAACAGGTAGAAAAACGTGATCCATCTATGTTTCATATTTGTACCACTGCAAATGATGATAGATAAATAAAAAATATTTTTTTCAAAACTCATCTACATTTGAAAAACCAAACAAAATTAGGTTTATATTTTATTACTATTTTTCCAAAAGTATAGAAATACGTGGAAAAAGTGAAATTCATATAAGAAACATAAAAAATAAAAATCAGTTTCTGAGAGTCCAGTTGGAAGTTCCAATTCTTAGGCTTATTTTTCCATAGTGCAAAAAGGCCTGGTATATCTCTGTCTATACTCAAAAAGAAGTGAGGAGCTGCAGGCAATAACGTGAACTGTTACCTTTTTCCTAATTCTTATTGATTGTTTATTTTCTATGATTTAGGACAAAGTTTTTCAAAATAAGTGATAATCTCTGGTTTAAAGCTTGAGAATCTACATTAAGTAAACCCCCAGGAGCTTTGTGTGCTCTATAACTTAGACCCTTAGCAAGACTTCCTTGTGTTTTGCCTTTTTTCAGGTACAAGAAAGCCATAAATCTATCCTGTATCATAGCGCAAGTCCATTACTCATAAGTCCTCATGGACCTTCAGGCAGCAATGACATGACTTATTCATTTCATCTAAGAGTAGAAATGTTTCTATAAGCATTCTGAACACGTAAGTGAAGCTAGAAGTACACCACCGAGCATGACACCCTAAAGCCATTGGCATCACTATTATTTTTGTACTGCTCTGGAAATCTCCAAAGACTCTTTCTATCTATTGCATTCATATCTATGGAATATTCTCTTTAGAAACCTTAAAAAATAAAGTCATAACTAATGGTTCTTCTGTCTCCATTCACTGTCCCAATACCAAGAAAGCCTGACATTAGTAAAGCTAAATTTGAATTCATTGTCCGAAACCCCTATTCTTTCTTTCTCTCAGTAACTTCCTTGGAACACCCTAGTGTAGGAGTCACTGTCATTTCCAAACTCTGTAAATCTACATGATTATGTAATAATGAACAACATAGAAGTAGAGAAAGAGAAAAATTTCAGCTTGGCTAAATCAAAATTTTAAAATGACATTTTCCAGCATTCAATTCTTTATTTCATGAGTACCTTAGTTGTTATAAAAATCAGCTTTCAGGAAAGCCAGAGAATGGGTTGACCAAGCTTTTCAAATTTCTTTCTTCCAGATTTCCAGTGAAAACCCATTGCTATGAAACTGCCTTTGGAATCAATGTGAGTTCCATGCATTTAAGCAGCTTCATTTAAATTCTACTACAATTGCCTCAATAAAATGCAAATAAAATATTTGAAAGACCCAAGAGATTAATCCTGGAAGAGGACTGAACTTCAACCTGCACAAACTTCCCCAGCTGTGATAAAGGATATCAGAATGAAATTCTTTAAAAAGGTCTTCAGAAAAAAAATAAATAAAAAAAATAAAAAGGTCTTCAGAACCAGCATGACAAGTAGCATTTCTTACCCAGAGCTTTCATGTAATCATCAAAGTGCTCACTGGAGATGAGTTTCCAGGTGCCCAAGAATTTGTTGCTCATTGTGGTAGAAGATAGTTGAACACAGTTCTAGATGGTGTTTAGGAGGCTCAGAGAGAGGCTGAGGCCTCAGAAGATTCTTTTCAATGTCCACAAAACATGTGACTTCCCCAGAGACCCAATGGGGAAGTCAGTGTCAGGACTGGGCAGTGAATGGCTCTTCAGTCATCTGCTACCCATTCATCAGGATAAAGAAAACCCCACATAATGTTTCCTTTTGTTTCCAAAAATGTCATAAAAATGAATGAGGGTACTATTCATTTGAATCTTCAAAAATTTTTGTTGATCTTAAATTTATGAGTACTTAGGTCCCTAATGCATTGGAAAAGACTCTATGGATTATATAATTGTGAATGAGTGTGTGTGTGTGTGTGTGTGTGTGTATGTGTTGCATTTAGGCATCTTGGCAACTGTGGATTCTGAAGGTTGCACGACTAAGAGTTCTAATTGAAAGGGAAAAAAGAGAGGAAAATACCCATGAATATTGTAATAAGAGTCTGAACTATGTTGTGGGAGAGAACTGCAGGGCAGTAGTGTGGGGACATATTCAGAGGTGAAGAAGGGTTGGCATAGTTCACATATCCCAGGCAGACAGCGTAGGCAGACAATGAAATCAGTCTATCACAGCAGAGTACAGGAACTCTATTCATGTGATAGGACAAGAAGCAGTACTGTGATATGCTCTTTGACCACAGCTAAGATTTTCATCTATAAAAATTTTAAACTCAAACTGAGCAAGTTCTTAGTGACTGTGACAACTTTAAGTCCCTTAAAATAAGTCCACAGTCTTATATAAACAAAAGATTTTCTATAAAAATGATACTGGTGGATAATGAGAGTTCACCATGGGCCAATCACTATGCTAAATGCTTAATACAGATGCTATCATTTACTACTGTCAGTACTCCAAGAGTTAGGTGCTATTGTTACACCCCTCTTAGGAGTGTGGAAAACAAACTCAGAGGGGTTAGATAACTTGCTTCCAAAATTTGAGTAAGGAGAGGCAGGATTTGGACTGAACTTCACTCCCTAGTGTCTACAACTTGCATGTGTGATACCTGACATCACACGTAAGCACAGATGTTACCCAAAGATCAGTGATTCTGACATCACCATGATTGCCTAGCAGTACTCATCTTCTCCAACTTCAAGAGAGGTAATAATCAAAAGATCCTGGCAGGTATGTTGCTTCAGAGCCAATTTATATTTGATCAGGAGGAGCAAATGTAAATCCACATCAAACATAAGTGTTGCTCTAGGGAAATATAGGCATGAACACGGAAATATGCATATATTGCCAAGGAAGAAAACTTATAACATTGAAACAATGTTAGACCAAGAGAAGAATTTTCTACTTTAGGCTAATTGGCAGACGTACCTGACTACTGAAACTCACCAGATGATTTTGGACTAAGATGAGAGTCTGAGCCAATGTACCGGCCAAAGGCCTGGGGTCAGAGCAATGAAAGGAGATCCAGGTTGAACCACGCTCCAACATTAGGCCACCCCTAATGTCTTAGTCATTTTTCTCATCTCTGGGACAAAACACCTGGTAACCAGCAGAGGTTTGTTTGGCTCATGTTTCAGTCCATAGTCAGCTGGCTGCAAGGCTGAACAACATGGCACAGGGACATGGTGAAGGAATAGCTGCTCAGCTCATGGCATACAGGAAGCAGAGGGAGATCAAGAGAGGAGCTTGGGTGGGAGACCAACCCTTCCAGGCCACATCCCTAGTGACCTCTTCTTCTGACATGACCATACCTCCTAATAGCAGCTAGCTATAATGTCCTTGTAATCCAGTGACCTTCCAAAAGCCTTACCCTTAAGTACTTAAGGCTCTCAGGACACATCTACATATAAACCACAACACTTTGTTAAGAAAGTCAGCAATATCCTAGCAAGAAAGGACATGTAGTAAACACTAGAAAAACATTACAACCAGATGAAAATATCTGGACTTAAACTAAATGTTAGTTCAATAGATATAGCTTCTCTTTAGAATGGATTCAGTCCTTCTCCTTTCAGCAATTTATTGCCCATGTAAATCCTCAAGATTCATGAGAGTTACTGTCATCATACACTGAAAAGAATACCCAGTGGTCCAAAGAAGATGGATAAGGAAAGCATGCTTTATGTAACGTGTAATGGTAATGCCCTTTATGTATGTTTTCAAGCTATATCCAGTCATACTTTTGGAAGAGATATTAACCATTGTATAGTAAAGAAACAGAGTATTCATGATCTTCCATTTGGATGCCAAGTTTTTTTGCATTTATTCAACTGCAAAAATATTTATTAAGAGCCTACTATGTGCCCAGAACTTTCAATATGCTGGTTAAACATCATTGAACAAAGTTTTCCACCTTCATTAACCTTATACTCTAGTTAGGAAGGCATAGTTTGAAGCAACATTCAGAGACATATGATATCTACTTATCATTTTGTAGTATTAGCAGATGGAGACAATAATAATGCTACTGAAGAGCCAGCAGACCGTGACTGCATAGGAAGATGTTTTATATAATATCTTAGACATCATCATGAGAAAATGATCTGATTTATGATCAGAACTCAGCAGCTAGGGTGTCTGGTGCCCTTCCAGATACTTTAGGCCTGTTATCCACATTGCCCTCTTTCAAGCTTCAAATAAGTGTTTTTCAAATTTAATAATGTCAACATTAAAATTGCTTTGTTAATGCAAACTCCCCTTGTAAATTCCTAAGCTACCAGTGGATAGTCTTTTGGTTACTCTGGTGATGACTGCATTTATGGTACCCCAAGGGTAGTTAACAGCTTTCTTTTGTTGACTGGCAATACAGAGATGGAAGAAGTAGCTTGTGATTTGTCTAAAAAATCCCATTAGCTTTTTTTTGCTGGAACCTAACATGCATGACCTCTTTTCCAAAGGTTAGTCTAAGATTTCACATTATTATTCATAATAGACACTTGAGAAATAAAGTTACTTGCTGGGGAGGAAATAAAAGAGGATTTCTGCATTTCAATTTCTTTCTCTGGTCCTTACATAGCATAACTGAGCTCCCTACAGTTTTGGTACTCCCTTTGCTTTGCTTCTGGAGAGAAGGTGATATTAACATTTTCCCAGTGCATCCAAGTAAATTGTATTTTTCAGTCATTGGCATGAAAAGCTTGAGACACTTTGAGGAATTGGTCCTTGGTTCCCATATCACTAATGGAAGAACAGAATTCCTTAAAATAATTCACTTGTTCTGGCCATGTGCACCATAATTCCAGCTACACAGGAGGCTAAAGCAGAAGGTTTGTAAGTTCCAGGCCAGCCAAAACAGTTTAGAAAGACCCTGTTTCAAAATAAAATAGAAAAGGGCGGGGGACATAGCTTAGTGATCGAGTGCTTGCCTAGCATGTGGGAGGCTCTGGGTTTAATCTGCTGTAGTGCAAAATCAAGCAAGCAAAAACATTTTAAAATATAGTGAATAACGCATGTACATGTGAGTGTGTAGTATGATTTTTTAAAATTTTAGATGTATTTTTGTTCTTCATTTGTACCTTTATTAAGGTGTGATTGATTAACAAAGTGGTCTAACTTTAAAGTGTACCATATTATATTTTGATAGGTGCTTTGATCAATGTGAAACAGTTATCAGAGTGAAGCTATTTAATACATCCATGACCTAATATATTTACAATATTTTATTTGCAATGAGGACATGTAAAATTTACTCTATTAATAAATTTCAAATGTAGAATACAGTATTATTAATTACAATCACTGTACTTTATATCAGCTCTCCTATCCAACCCATTCTGCATGACTGAAGCTTTGTGTTTTGAACAACGCTGCTCTGTTTCACCCTCCACCTTGCAGCCATCATTCTAACAGCTGCTTTGTAGGGTGGTTAGACTGCCTTATGTTCCATGTGGAGTCGAAGGAACAAATAAAAACTCTGAGAAGTTGAGTGATGTTTTAAAATCATGTGTTAGCCAGGCCAAGCAAACCTGCTTTGTTGCCTATTTTATTTCTCCCATTGATTTCAAGCTGAGATAATGTAAAGGTTGTAAGACAAAGTGTAGTTAGCATGTGACCTTTTTATATAAAGAAAATATTTCAGATTAAATAGGTCAGAGAGTTAACTAAATTCATGTTTAAAATGTGTTTTATTTTATTCAGTGAATCCAACTTATTTTGTCAAACGCTTGAAAGCTAGCTTTGTGGTTTGATTGTAGCCCATGACATACTTGTGACTGGTGATACACTGTAATGATGAAATCTCTTATATTTTATTCAGACCCAGAATTACACTATCTGCTGCAATAAGTCCCAGTATTTCAGTGGTTTAACCAAGAGGTTTAGTTCTGGCTTGATTTTCAGTCCAGCGTAGGGATTCTTTGTTGAAAGGGAGCTTTTCTCCATGAGTTCATTCAGAGGGCTTAGACCCATTCTGCTAGTGCCTACACCACTGCCATGGGGTTCAGAGGCAGGCATGAATTGCCCCTTTACTGTCCTGCCAGACATGGCATATATCACTTCTACTCAGATTCCAATGCAAAGATGTCACAAGTCCCAGTACAGACAGAAGCAAGGCTGAACTGAGCAGCACCTGGCTTGGAGATACTTTTCAGCAACAGTGCGATGCTATGGATGAGCAATCCCTGGTTTCTAGCAGGCAACCAATCCTCTCTGGCACAGTGACATTCAGATAGTGGTACTAAGAGTCTTGAGATTATTTCTCAATGTAAAGAGTGATGCTGTAGTGAAGTTGGAGTATGTTCTCACCTAACTTTGTGACCTCCTGTATAGATGGCATTTGGGTTCAGTTTTGTCATGTGTAAAATATTGATTGACTGGAGGATCAGGGAACATTACTTTTGTGAAGCTGCTTCGTAACCTATTGTTGTAACTTTTTATTTTTAACAGGCATCTACTGAAATCTGAACTATGCCTTACAAAGTAAACTGGACTCCATTTCTCTGCTCATTTTCTGCAAAGCCTGCTGCTAACGAGTTGCTCACAGCCTCTGCTCCAAGTTCAGTGCTGCTGAGACACTCCCCCGCCCTGAGTCTCTGCTCATCATTTTGGCGACTTGTTCACCAATGACACTGTTTCCCCTCTTCACATCTTAATGACATTATCATCAGAGAAGAGTTCTAGGAAAACAGAAATGACCTGAGGGATTTTCTGTGCTGGTCACCTCACCCTGAGATGTAGATAAGTCTTCATTTTGCAAAGAGAAAAATTAAGTAGGTAAGCAGCATCTGCAGACTGTAATGTAGCCGTAGACATAAGCATGATGCAAGTCTGCCCCTGACAGGGCCACAAACCCCAGCTCCTTTCACTATAAGCTTCTGTCCTATCAAAGGAGCTGATGGCTAAAGAGACCTTGTCTATCCTCCTGCATATCCTACCTGGATATGATAGACTATATTTTCTCCCTCAAGCTCAAAATAGAAATTATGAGAACATGTGCTTTTACATCTTGATATTTCCTTCTAGGACTCTTGTCTATTTTTGGTTATTGTGTTTGGAGTAGTTGGTCATCACTTTTTTTACGTTCTTAATTTTTATTAGTATATGTTTGAATTCAGAATAACTAAATTCATCTTTTTAGGACCACGAAGAAAAATATGTCTTTTTATGTTTATGGCATTTTTGGTGCAAAAAATATGGAAATTAAATATTACTAAGAATGGTCAACAACATTATTTTTGTCAATGACTTCCTAAATAATACTAACAAAAGAGGAAATCTGGTGAATTATCTTTGGATAATAATATTAATGTTGGCATTAGTATGATTGATTTTTGGATAATCAATATTTCCTTTACAAACTTCTGTGTGGATCTTAAGTATAATGATTTATTAGTTATTTGTGCTAAAAAATTCAAAATAAAATGTATTTTTCTTTGTGGTTTAATAAAGTGACTGTCACTTCTTTTATTTCAAGCCCTCTTGGAAAGAGAAGAAATAATGGTTTTGATTAATCAATTTACCTAATGAAAAGATCCCTTACAGTTTGATAAATATGTTTCATTTCCTTAGATAGATGGCCTTAGACATATGATTTTTTAAGGCAAATTAGAAATATCAAGAGACCGATTATGTGAAAATTCTTACTAACAACTAATAAATCTAATTATTCTTTTTTTAAACGACAGAAATGTTGACACGATTTTCTGAGAATAAAGGTATGGGATTAGGGCTTCAATACTCCTTTGCCTCATGAAACCTTAGAAGGCATTGTGGACTCCTTGCCTGGCATACTGCTGCTCTCCAGCACAGGACATCATCAGATGTACAGAAGCCATGCAGAAAGGGCTTGCTGAAAGGGTAAGTGAACGGTTTCCTAAAAAGCACTGTGTTCAGTGCTGCCTATGAAACTCTCAGCATCAAGGCTGTCTATCTCACTCATACCCTTTGCACTTTGAGCTGTGATACTTATGAGAAAACTGTGGGTTTTTTTCTTCATTATACCTCAGTAAAGTCAAAGATTTACATGAGTAAGTATCCAGTGCTTTAGAAAGTAATTTCTCTTTCCTGAGTAATTTCCAAACGCTCTGACCCGTGCTTACGGAGTCATTAAAGCATCTGTCACCGCCAGCATCCTGCAGACTGATTAAGGAGGTATTGCCCATGTTCCCTTTGCCAGGACACCACCAGACCAAAGCCTCTGACCTCTGAAGAACAAACCTGGTCACATTTTGTACACACTGGAGTTCTTCAGGAGCGAGAGGGACCAGGCCTGTCGGGATGAGTTCGCTCACTCCTAGTCGGTAGCCACATGGCCAGAGCCAAGCCCAGAATTCCAGCACAACTGAATGCTCAGAGGTCTCCAGGTCTCGTAAGGCAGCCCCAGTTCCCGCTCTTGTCCAGGCAGCCAGCTCTTGCCCCATCTCTTGCTTTAGTCTTTCTGTTCATTACTCTTCATCTTTACCCCTCCGAAGAGGGCCGTACCCAGGATGCCTCGGGCAGTCCCCCTTTGGCCTGCTGTGTAGGTGCCATTCTTAGCAGGGTCCCTTTTCCCTTTTAAATATTCACCCAATTTGGATAGCAAATTATATGGATCATCTGTTCTAGTGGATGTGTACCAAACACAGTTCTTAGGCCTCATATTTGACCAATTGCTGTCCATTTTTATATTTAAGGTACAACATAATCATTTACTTAAATTTCTCTCTTTCTCCCCCCCGGCATAGATAGTCTCTCTGTCGGAGGGTGTTTACCCTTTAATTTTACGTCCATTGCTCTGTTTTACTTGGGCACTGAGATCACTCAACTTAACAATTGCACTTGGTGAAATATTGAGAGATTTTGTGTAGTTCTAAAAGTTATATTCTACTGGACATTGAGACATTCAGGACTGGTGTTTAATGACACGTCATTCTGCAAGGGTTAACTCACAGTGGTGATGGATTCACTAGCCTGATAATTTTAAATGGATTTGTGAAGAAGGGAAACAATGACATTACAAGTACTCTTCTTTCACAACTCAACCTCCAGGTAGTCTCTCTCTCTCTCTCTCTCTCTCTCTCTCTCTCT